TTAAGTCAACTAAATGAAAATTATTGCGTCAATTGTTTTTTTTTTTAGAAATTTAAGCTGAAAAATAAAGTTCTTTTCCATCAATGTGAACAATGAGTAAATTTAAGATCATATTTAAGTTGACATTAGGTAAGCAATCTTTCCTGGCGGATAGTTACCATTATGATGAAATTAATTTTTTTTATTTTTTTGGTTGGCTGTTGTCTTGTAGGTTAACTTCAGTAGTATATTGATGCTCTGCGATTCCACTATTTCCTTTGACTGTGAATCTGCTGCTATCCTTAACACTGTAATTGTCCATCGACTTGGCTGAAGATCCATATGCTGAACCTCATTCATTGCACTGTCCATCTGTGATGAACGATGGCCTTATTACTGCAAGCACTGAGAAGACTCACAAAGAGCCTGGCTTGACCAGGATTTGATGCTGCGCCCACTAGCTCGTGGGTATGGCGACTTAACCATTCGGCTATTAGTCGCCCAATAATAAAGTTGACTAAATTAATGAGTCAATTGCTTATTCAAATTTTAGCTGAAGAAGTAACACTTTTCTATAAACATGACTGATAAAAATGACAATGAACGAATTAGATTTGGAATTGGAATCATTTAAATTTTCAATATTTAATCTATAGATGATAATTAAAAATTAAATCTTGCCTAAATGCTAGAGGAAACCACCAAAAACATGATTCATACCTGGGAATAAAAAGTTCAGGAACTAAAGTATTTTTAGATTCATTCTGAATACTGAATACAAATAATTACTTCAATTTATTATAATTATGATAATAAATTTAAACAATTTTTCAATAGGAAATTTTAAACAACTCAAAAAAAATGTAAATTTCTTCTTTGTGCGTTAATTTCGAAAAACATCAACGAAACATTGAAACGTCACAAAGCATTTTCCAGAGTCCATATGCATGAATGGTTAATTAACGTGCGCGTCGCAGTGCAGGAAATTTTATTTTTGGTTCATTGATAATTTGGAAATCGGTTGGTGAATCTGTCGTCGGTCGCCAACTCGGATCGTTTAGTGGCTGTCAAGGCAGTTGACGCTAATTGCCCCCTAGAATGTAATAATATTCGAATGCGTATAAATAGAAATAGGTTTCACCCGAAGAAGATTCTCAAATGCAGCGACAAAAACGAACTAAAAGCGGAAGTATCCATCTCTTTTTTTTATTTCTCACTCGTTTCTCTACACTTTTTCCCATTTTTTTTTCTATGTAAGTTTCGCTTCGTATTTTAGCCTCAGGCGATCAATCATTAACGATATTCCTAGTTGTCTCAATTTCCTTCAACGTTATTTTTATTTCTACCAAAACAAGAATTTACCATTGAGTTTTACCGAATACATTTTATATTTAATTTACTAATTACCAATATTTAAAATTATAACGTTTTTTTTTTGTTATTATTATTTGTGCGTTGCAAATCTTCTGCATTTATATATATATAAAAAACAAACGCGTCGGCTTTGAAACGGAATTGTCATTCATCACTGTCATTTGTCATAGGATCTTGTCTTCTTTTTGCATTTGTATCCAAAGTTGCCATTGTAGCCAACTAAACTTTTTTTTATCTTTTTTATTTTGCTGTTGTTTCAAAGCACACCCACACTTTTCACCGTGTCTATAATAAATATACATTTCTTACATTATTATTAACCTTGTACTAATTGGATGTTATTATATAAAAACCAAAACTATATTAGATAATTTAATTTAATTATTTCGTCTATAATGAAAGTAATAATAATACTGAGAAATAACCAAGATAATTAAAAAATCATGCATTATTACATAATTACAAAGAATTCAACAATTTCAAAAAAATGCACAAAAATAAATATATCTTTGTAGAAATAAATAAAATTAGAGATGTTTATAAAGTAAAATAACGAACTAAACGATTAATGTTGTTGCATTTTTACTTGATATAATAAGAAATAATTTAATTTTAAAGATATTTTCTTGATATATTTTCAAAATGTTGACAATTTGTTGTACAAAAAAATTACAAATTAAAATTATATTTTTTTTATGATATTTGTTAGATTTTTAAGATTTTTTCAAAAGTTTCAAAATAAATTGATAAATGAAATTGAAGAAATCTACAACTGTGAAAATTATAGAAACTCAAATCAAAATATATTTCTGAATAAAACAGAAAAAGAACAAATACATAAGAATAATTATGGGTTTATATCATAAGCCCGACAACCGAAAGACCGTCTATTGAAATCCTGACTTTCGAAATCAAAATCCCGACGTTCGAAATCCCGATTATATCAAAATCTCGACAACCATAATCCCGACTATATCAAAATCCCGACTGTATCAAAATCCCGACTAAGTCGAAATTTTTTACAATAACATTTTTAAAATATTTCCCGGTAATAATACCGGTTGTCGGGATTATGGTTGTCTAGATTTTGATATAGTCGGAATTTCAAACGTCGGGAATTTGATTGACAGTATTTCGGTTGTCGGGTTTACGATTGCCACCGAATAATTATAATTAGTTAAAAAACTTATGTTTTGATGAGATTTTATTTTTGTTTTGCCAATTCTTATCAATTAAAATATTAACTTTAAATACTGCAGTTACTTATTGGAAATAAACTAAAATAAAAACTAAAGAAATCGAACTAATTGAATTTGGTCATAATTATGACCAATCAAATTGGCTAATTTACCATTTATTGACACTTGACACTTGGCACTTATAAGAAATAATTATGTAAGAAAACAAAGATTAATTAGGGTTTTAATGATAAATGCATACAAAAATGTATATACTCTTCACACCTTCTTTTTTTTTATTTAAACAATAATGAAAAACATGTATAAAATTAACAGATTAAACAATAACAAAATTTTAATTTTAAATAAAATATGAGATTAATAATAAACGAAATTTACTTAAACTATACATATTATATTTCCTATGAAATTACTTATATTTTTTATCATAAGACAGACCCCAAATTTATGAGTCAATTTTTAGAAAAGTATATTTTATAACCTTTGAACCATAAGAAGCAATTACATTTTAAGTCAAATATTATTTGTAAAAAAGGTGTGTATTATGAAAAAATACGGTATTTTCATGAAGTGTTTTTATTTCTTAAACTATTACAAGTTTTTTTTTTTAAATTTATAAATTATCTTTACATTATAATTTCTTTAGTAATCATTTTTTTACTATAATAATTTGTATTTAATACATTATTTTAAACTCGCTTGGATTATACCAAAATATAATTCAATTATTTTGATTAATAATTTCTAAACAAAATACATTAAATTAAAATACATACTTTTATATTGAATATTTAATTTAAGTTTTTTTATTGTCACTAATGTACATCAAAAGGCTTAAATCTAAGTGATTATACCTATTTTCTTAAATATAACTGTGATTTTATTATATTTGAAATATTTGGATTAAATCGTCATTATATACTAAATACTTATTATAAGTACATAAGATACAAACAAAGTAAATGCTAGTTAGTTATTGCTATCAGAACGTTAAAATATGGACGTTGATGAACGTATAATGAAGTGACAAAAGTGTCACAATTTTCCCCGATGCAGTCACTCAAGAAACGCCGATAATTGGCTTGAATCGATTTCTCATAAAACAATTTCTGATTTCGGTTTCGGCGCTGCCGGATTTTTTTTTATGATTGGTGGTAACATTTAAGTGCCCCGTCATTTGTGTGTCATCACAGAAAGATAACGAGGCGTCGGTGGCAGCGGCGGAGGCGGCGCCGATAAAGCGGGGCGGCGTTCCAGAATTGAACAAGTCGCAAAAGAGCGAGATGAAGAGACGAGATGGAAAGGAGAGAAGAGAAGAAGAAAAAAAAAACAAAACTGCTTAAACTTAACACGTCCCTAAGCTGATAAAGCGTTTTGCAACATTATCCGCCCCTCGTAAAATTTAATAAACCCGTTTTTATTATTATTTAAACCAGTGGGATCACATTTTTTTACATCTATTATTTTACTTCGGGTATCTTCATTATTAGGCAACCAAACGAACTTTTACCGAATGCGCCAATCGTAAATCTTCGTTCGATATTAGCATAATCAGAATAATTCCCGGCAGCTGACAGTGTTTGTTTTCCTTTATTTGCGAGCCCAGTTTTTTTTTTCGTTGACTTTCTTTCGGTTCGCGCCGCCCGCAGCAAAGTTTTCAAGTGTTTTCTCAACGTTCCTACTTCTTTTTTACTTCTTCGCTTCCTTTCTTTCTTTCCTCCTTCTTATTTTTAGTAAAGTTATAGCTTTGGAATGCTTTGCATATAGAGAGAGGGTAGATTCTTAGATGTATGGGAGGGTTCTCGGGTGCTGGAGGGGTGCGAACTCCGAGAGAGTTCGCACGAAAACTATCAAATATTGAAATAAAATTCATCTCCTCGACATCACAAACAGCTGCCACTTGTTTTAAGAGTTTCGCGAAATCGGAGACATATTAAAATTCCCTTCCACATATACTATATATATATATCGTGAACATATCGGCAGCCGCAGTAACATTCTTTGCATGCATAACATAAACAGGGCTCTGAATAAAACTTTTATTTGCACTAAATAAATCTTCTTTCGGTTTTTTATGTTTGTGTGTGTGTTTGTGATTTTTTTTTGCCTGCATTCTTCCGTTCGCTCTCTTTATCCCTTTGACAGGGGGTGTGGGATGTGTGGGATGTGTGTCTGTGTGTGAGAGAGTAAGGGAGATAGGGGTGCTTGTTTCGGATGGGGTGGGAAGTAGTTGGGGGGATGATGTGTAAGTAGCGTTAGTAGGGATGTGCCGTGTCATCGGAGAGAGCGGCAGCACTCTCGGATCTTGCTGTCTGTCAGTTTAAACCGTCTCAAACAAGATGGATGGCACGGGGGGTGGATGGGAAATCATGCAGAGCTCGTACATCCAGCGCGAAACGTCTCCTTCTTCCTCTTCGCTCTCCTCTTAAAACTAAATTAACAAATCTATTAAACGCCTCCGTACCCCTGGCTCCCGCCATCATCGAAAAATTGCTGAATGTTCGCGTTCGAGCCTTGATTACCACTACCACCAGCTCCATCATCACCGCCTCCTTCACCATCCTTAGGATTCGCTTTAGTCTTAGCCTCATTCAGAGCCTGCAGCTCCTTCTTGTGCTTCATCCGGCGATTCTGAAACCATATCTTGATCTGCCTCTCGCTCAAACTTAGTTGTTCAGCCAAAGTGATCCTCTTCGGTCTGCACAGATACTTGATTTGCCCAAACTCCCTGTCCAACTTGATCAGTTGCTCCGACGAGTAAGCAGTCCTCGGTCTCTTCGGCTTCTTCTTTCCCATTTGTTGTTGTTGTTGCTGCTGCTGTTGTTTACCACTCTTAGCCAACAACTTAACACCCTGCGAAGCTGCAATTCAAAGAGAAACAGAAATAAATACTTAAATTTGAAATGATTTTTTTTTCTTCTTCTAAAGCCGCGTCCCATTGTAAACCCGGCATAAATACGGATAAGTCAATAAGGGATGAAAAAGGGGGAGGATATTGCCCGTCGCCTAGGACGTTTATGAATAAAACAAAAGTCTTTGATTTCCATTCGATATTCCGTTCGTTTCTTTTCATACTCCTTTTATATATTTCTCTCTTCTCCCGAGCGGAGGGTGGCCTTTTATAACGTCGGCGAGGAATTAAATATTTCAGTTCGTGCACCATGAAAACAGTTTAAAACCTTTTAACAGCCCCCCTCCTTCTCCTTTCTGCCAGACCATTTATATTTGCTCGAATATGTGTACAAAATATTCTTAGTTTTTTTTTTCGTATCCTTGCACCATAAATCAATACGACGGAGAGCATTTATTATTACGATTTTCACGATTACCTTCATTCCCTTACATTCTCCAACAACTTCTTTATTCTGTTTCATTTCTTCTTTTTTAATTAATATGTAAAACTAGTTGTCCATCACATGACATTTGTCAATTAAACTGTCAAATATTTGTAAAACCTACTCGAGTAACGACGTGATTCCATTACGCAATTTCAGACGTAAATCGAAATGGTTGTAAGTGGAAATACTTCAAAATTAATAATTTATTTATTTCTATTTTATAATAGAAAGTATGCATAAACAGTGAAAAGTTGATGAAATTATTCATTTATTTATAATTTATTCAAATTATAACCAGTTGTCCACCACATGAGATTTGTCAAATAAACTGTTAAATATTTGTACACCTAATTGACTTACGACGTGATTCCATTACGCAATTTCAGACGTAAATCGAAATGGTTGTAAGTGGAAATACATCAACTTTAATAACTTATTTATTTCTATTTTATCATAGAAAGTGTGAATAAACAGTGAAAAGTTGATGAAATTATTATTTTTTTTCAAATTTATTTAAATTAATACCAGTTGTCCACCACATGACATTTGTCAAATAAACTGTCAAATATTTGTACACATACTCGACTTACAACTACTTAATTTCTGACGTAAATCGAAAGGTTTGTAAGTGGAAATACATCAACATTTATAACTTATTTATTTTTATTTTATCAAAGAAAGTGTGAATAAACTGTGAAAAGTTGATGAAATTATACAATTTTTTTAAATTTATTTAAATTAAAACCAGTTGTCCACCACATGACATTTGTCAAATAAACTGTAAAATATTTGAACACTTACTCGACTTATGACTTGATTCCATTACACAATTTCAGACGTAAATCGAAATACATCTACATTAGTAACTTATTTATTTCTATTTTATCATAGAAAGTGTGAATAAATAGTGAAAAGTTGATGAAATTATGCATTTTTAATTTAAAATTTTCATTAGTAATAAATTAAATATTACACGAAATAACAAAGGAATATATAAAATACTATAAACGGCAGTGCTTTTGGCAGAATAAAAATAGTCAATTGTCTAACCCGACTTACGAACTTCCGGAGTTAAGAACCAAATTCTAAAAGCTCTAACTTATTACAAGGAGATATATAGAGATACAAAAAATAACTGTTGAAACAAAAATTGATAATTTCTTTAATAAAATATAATATTTTTTGAAATATTTAAAATTCCCCCGAGTTATGAACAAATTCTACTTACGAACGGAACTAGTTCGTAAGTCGGGTTATACCTGTAAGTAAGAAATTTCTTAAAGACTACATTTTGTGTTTATCTATAAATAATTTATATGTATTAACAATAATGAAATCTATAAATTGAGTATGTTTTAAAGTATATTGATTAAACTATAAAATATAGCATAAAAACAATATAATCTGTAAATAAAATTGGAATGTTTTCATTTATTTTTAAATTTTGCCGCGTTTTATTTGACAGATCTACAAAATGATTGAGTGCTTCTGATATAACCAATAATAAAACTGGCAGGATTAAAATGTGATCTATCTTGAAATAATTTGTTTTGCGGTATAAATGATTTTGCCGTCGTTTTTGTTAATCGGTACAAAAATTATACCAATTTTATTAAAAAAATATACATTTTTAATAACAAAATATAAATTATCATAAAAGAATTAGAAATTTACACTTTTATTACTAGTCTATCTAATATTTCTATTTTTTCTTATGTAATTTAAAAACAAACGTGTTTTTGATAAGAAGAAAGTTTATAAAAAATTGTAATTTTCTAAATTCATTGATTCATTTTTGATTGATTTGTTTTTGTAAATAGAGTGATGTTTCTTTCATGGAAAAATGTCGACAATTTCATTTTTTAATAGGGAAATTCAAAATTTATAATATTGTTTTACTTAACTTTTACTAATACTTTATAAAATAAACCTATTTAAGAATAAAATTACTGTAATTTATATTTTTGTAATCAATGCTTTCACCGATTTTTTTTTATTTAACAATATAAATATTGAATATTTTTTTGTATGTTTGCTATCCCTCTCGACCTCTCTCCACCCCTGATTCTTTTGTGTGCCCTTTTTTAGTGCGTATACATGTGGGTCAAACGGCAGAGTCATTAATCAAACTTGACTCGTGGCTCACTTGTTCTTTTTTTCGCTCTTCTCCTTCGATCGCACTACACTTTTTCCAATAACATTTTTAAATCTTGCGATTTTTGACCTCTCAAAATAAAACAAAACAAAAAATACAAAAAAAATAAATATAATTAGAATAATCAAGACAGTAGAATATTTTTTGTAAGATTACATAAAAGCATATATATAAAAAAAATAGTAGCCTGTGGTACTCGTTTTACGACAGGGTTACATTGTAGTAAAATATGATCGTAAAATAAAATTTAAGTCTTTTTTACCAATAAATTCCTCAATAGATCAAGAAAATGGAAACATTTTCATTGTAATTTTTACGATTTTTGTAATTTTTATTCACTTTTGTAAGAATTATTGTGAAAAGTCGTAAAATAATTCATGTTTATTTATTTTTACGTTGTAGTAAAAAAATATCATGAAATCAAATTAAAATATTGTAATTTTCACAATTTTTGTCATTTTTCATTCTTTTTTTGTAAGATTTTATTGAAAATTATATGAAAGTTGTAAAATAATTATTTTTATTGATATTTACAAAAAGATCAATAAAAATCTATGGAATTTATCAAAAACTTCCACAATATACAAAGAAAATTGTAATTTTTGTCAGGTTTATAAGATTTTATTAAAAATTGTATGAAACGTCGTAAAATGATTCATTTTCATTTATATATACATCAAAAACAATAAAAAATCTATTCAAAAATCCTCTGTTTATATATGTATCTTAGAAAATTATTTTCATAATTAGTAAGTTTCAGCAACAATAATATTGGAATTGAGGAAATTCATAGACTTTTTGTTGTTGATTAAAAAACTAACAGAAGTTAATTAGGGATTGAAATAATTAGTTAAACAATTAGAAATTAATTTATAAAATAAGTAAAATTCTCAATTAAAACATAAAGATGTTATGTAGAGTGATATAAAAAATCTCTTATTTTCAATGTAGTTTCATTGGTTGAAGCAAAATAAAGAACTGTTGTTATATACCCTGGAAATTAGTTAAAAGTGGACAAGGATCGTGCATATAACTAAAATTTAAAAAAAGTAACCGTACTTCCTACGTAAACTTTTTTTTTGTTCAACTAAAAATAATAATAATAACGGCAACAATAATATCGCGAGGAATCAATTTCCATGTCACAAATAATGGGAGTAAAAGTCCGCGGCCATTTTCCTTCTGACACGAGAATTGAATGTAGTCACGCATGGCGATCTTATCGTGCAACTCCCCCGCCCCCCGCATATTTTCTCTATTTTCATATGCTTTTTTTTAGTGTTTCGTTACTTTATATATTCCCCTCCATTCATTATTACACATTATAAATATTTTACTTTCGCCTATTTTTTTTTTCTGTTCTTTCGAAATAATTATATATTTCCATTCCACAGTTAAAAAAAATAAATAATAACTCGAGGGTGGCGTTGCATGTGCATGTGACAAGGTTAGAAAAAAATAATTTAAAAACTAAAATTATGTGGAGGGGGTTGTTTTTGAAGGGTTGTCAACCGCTCGTCAGTTGTCACTGCGAGGGATGCAAACAACATGGCCGATGCCCGTTAGAGTGGGGTTCGTTTTGAAGGTAGCCCACTTGTCCGATGATTGACATCTGGTTTTTTTTGGGGCGGCAAAACGAAAATGTTTGTCTTTTGGTCGGTCGGCCATAATTAAATTCTCCGTCTTTGCATCTCTCTTTCTCTCTCAGTTTGTTACAGCAAGAGTAGATTTGCGTCCGTCATCAATGGAAATCAGGACAATGAAAGGACCCGCAAGTTCCTTTTGCGAAGGATTCAGAGAGCGGCGGACCGCAAACGGTAGCGCGCTCCCCCATAGACCGCAAGAGTTCAAAGTGAAAATGTTTTAGGGCTCCCCGGGGATTATAGCAACAACAATCTTGTAATGCCTCCGTGACTCCTCTCGTCCTTTACTCTCTCTCTCCTTCTGTCCTATTGCTATGCCTGCCTCAACCCCTGCGAAAACCCTCCGCCCCCGCCCAATCCTCTCCGGGACTCCCGTGGGGTTGAACGGGACGTGAGAATATGGCAGTAAAGTAAACTGCCCGCCTGTTGCTGCCGCCTCCGTCGCCGCAGCCTTTGCTTTAACGCGCAATCCTCTCGTAAACAGTCCACCAACATCAGGGATTCCTCCGCACATTTCTTTAATCCTTCATCATACCCATTACATGAACCATTTATCATACTCCACAAAATCTAATAATATTTAATCCATTGTATCCTCATAAAGATAATCAATTAATTAAAATCGATTTACCTTTCATGATTTTCTTCAAATTTTCTTGAGAAAAACGCGTAAATCGAAATTGCATAAGATTGATTATTTTCAACATTTATTTTATAATTTCAATTTCTTTAAACTTATTTATTGTAAATTATTTTGAATATTTATGTTTGATTTTTGTTAAAATAATGTAAAAGCGAAAACGTGTAAAAAAAGTAATGTGTAGCTTATTTTCATATAATTTTTTTTTTAACCGTGTAAAAGCGAAAACGTGTAAAGAAAGTACACTTTAAATCGAGGTATAGGTGTAATATTACATCAATATTGGATTCTATAGATTTTATAGAATCTCCAATTCATAAGTTGCATTGAAAATGAATATAAAAGGGTTATTTACATTTTAATTAAAAAGATACTCTTGAGAATCGACAAATGAGTAATTCAAAATCGATTCAGTTAAAGCATAGAATTACTGTTTATGAAAATTACTCTTTCTTTCTGGTTTCTCTTGTTTTATTCCGTTTAACATATTCCATACATTATCAGAATTTGTGTCGGAAGTAACATAATTGCAGTTTCAGAAAGTTTCCTTCAGCCCATAAAAGTTTTGTGAAATTTTGTGTGTATAAAATAAATACTTTGGCAAATATTGAGTGTAATTTACAAATTAATGTTTCTTTAATTTTTAATTCTTATTAATTTATTTTTATAATTCAGACAATTTGGGACAGAATAATTTAATTATTACTAAGAATTTTTATCGTAAAAAAATGGGATTTCATTTTTTTTTATAAATATTCTTTTATTGAATTAATTATTAATTGATTTTAATAAGTTAACTGTTTCAAACTCTAAAAATAAAAATTCTCTAATAACTATAAGAGATGTACTATTAATCGAAGGCAATCGCAAGCCCGACAACCAAAATCCCGTCTATCGAAATCCCGACCTTCGAAATCCAGAGTGTATCGAAATTTCGGCTGCCTCAAAATCCCGGCGTTCGAAAACCCGACTTTGTTAAAATCCCGACTTTTATTATTATAATTTCTACAATAACATTTTTATGGTAGTCGGGATTTCGATAAAGTGGGGATTTTGATTGTGGGAATTTTGATTATCGGGATTATGATAGTCGGGATTTTGACATAGTCGGGATTTCAAGCGTCGGGATTTCGATACAGTCGTGATTTCAATAGACGGTCTTTTGGTTGTCGGGCTTGCGATATAAACCTCTATTAACAATAGAGTTTACTGTACTAATTATTAACAAAATTATATAATTTTGAAAACAATTTACATATATTAAACATATTTTGGACCTAAATCAAAGAAATTTAAAAAATAATCTAAAATTAAATTATACAGTAGAACCTGTTTTTCTGTGGTCCTTTTATATGCGGTTGATGAAATCCAACCAATTCCAACTGCGTTGGCACCATTGTTATGTTTTCTATCAGTGTGCATATGTACAGCCTGTTGAAACGATTCCGTTAGTCTATTTTGAACCAATTCATCACAAGAAGATGCGCTTTTGGGATTAACACGAGTAGTAGTCAATTATGTATGTGCATTTTGAAAATTTCTCCGTATGTACAATGAAAAATTAAATGTTTTTAAAATGTTTCCATGTAATTTAATTATAATTAATTATTATAATAATTATTATAATTTAATTATAAACTTTCAATAGATGTAACAAAAATTGTCATTAATTATGTATTGCTATAATTACAGAAACTGTTTTTTTTAATAGAACGAATATATCTTAATTTTCCTTTGTATAAAGAAAATACATAGTTCCATTAAATCAGTGAACTGAAAAAAAATCGGTCAATGGCCTTTTTACTAATGGAAACAACTAATATTGTGCTCTCTCATTCTTACAGAATTATATACGAATTCAGATTAAGACTGGTAAATTCTATAAATAACAATAAAACCATAAGTATATATACTTTAAATATAAGAAATTTCAACTTAGTAATTATAAGTTTAATTCAGTATTGTTCAATAACTTTAATAATTGTTTAAACATAATTAGCAAATTAATACTAACTATTATTACAATATTCATTTTATTTTTTATATACTACAGTGGGTGATAGTTTGACGAAAATTTAAGACAAATTTAACAACGATACGAAGAGCTAACGCTAGTGCTGATATGAAACTTAAGTTGCTTCTTAAATCGGGTGATAACTTAACGAACAATTTGGATGACGAACAAATTGGACGCAAAATATATTCGAAAAAGATTTTTATGTTCGATAACAAAAACATATTAGGATAACGAACTTCTTGCAGTACTGAACAGTAAATCGATTATCGGCTAACGAACAATTCGGTTACCAAACATCTTTTATAAACGTATTATGTTCGTTAACCGATCATCATCTATATTATAGTTATTTATAGTACTTTTGTTAATCCACATCATATTTTTGTTAACTAATTTTCTAATAACAAACATTTAATTTATATAATTTATTGCATTCGTGACTTATAAAATAAAACGTTATATGCTTGAAGCTATTATTTTTTGTGTGTGTGTTACGATCATAAATGTAAAAATCCAAATGTTTGTATATAATTATGTGCCATTAGTTAAATTGAACTGTTGGATTTAGAGTGCTTTGTTTGCATCAATTTCCCTTCAGTCAAACATATATTTTAGATAATTGCAGTCCCAACTTCACAGACATTATGCATAAACTAATTTTATATCATTTTGAATCTTTCTTAAATTACTATACGAAATTTAAAAAAAAACAAAATTAAATATGTATGAAATTATTTGACTCGTGTAATTACTTTATTAATCATCATTAAAATTTAAAAAAATTGAGAACTGATTTTATGGATATTTTATATATTTTTTTTAATAGAATTTTCATATTATAATTGTTAGAATTACAAACATTTGTAATAGAAATAAAATATATTATGTAAGGAATTATTTGTTTGATGTAAAATAACTAATAATCATATAATTTTTAATTTTTTTGAGAATAGAGCTACACAGTAAATTCTTGACTTACGATTATTCGGACTTACGACAAAAAATAAAATTTAATCAACGTTACACATTATATTTTTTTAGATTAATTTGCACGTTTTGCATATTTATTTATATAATTTTATAAAGTAACTTCTCGACTTACGATTGTTCGGACGACGAAAAAATATATATGATTTTATTTTGTACATTTCTTTATGAATTTTTATACATAAATATTCTCTTTTTTATCAAAGAAAACATCAAGACAAAAAAATCTTAGATTATGTAAGCTATAAATTTGAAGGTACATATAAGTATATATCTTTCAAAAAGTGACTGTATTGACATTTGTTCAGAAATAAAATTCATTCCTGTCTATAGATTTGTATGAATCTGTATATTGTTAAGACTACTTTCAAAAAAATCATGCCTATTCTATTTGTGTGCCACCTAATAAACAAAGTTGGAAACTATACTATAACGGTAAAATTTTTAAAAAATAAATTATAATAAATAAGTATGACAGATATAACAAATTTTCATAAAAAGTAGGAAATTTGAATATTAATATTCCAAAAATACTAGGAAAATATTAAATTAAATGATAAAAACTAAAATTTATAGTATAAAATACATATACAAAGTGAATAATAAAACAATATATTTTCTTGTATTGAATGCAATTTCTTGACTGTTTTTAACTTTTGTCTATATACGTTGTAAAATATATAAATTTGCCGGTAAAAGTTAATATATAAAGCTGATTTTAGATTTAAACTCACATTTACCAACCAATCTGGTAAATGTGTACATTTACTGATTTTGTACTTTTACCGTAACATATATTCAAATGAAAAGTTGTTCATCTTTTCAACAGTCACTCATTGTTGACTATGTAAAAAAAATCAATCAAAGATTACAGGACCTTTTCACGTCGAGCGATTATTTCTGCTTTGTGTATTAAAACGGAAATTTTATTATTATGTCGTGCCTCTTGTGTGTATTTATATGTGGGTCAAACGAGAAGTCATTAATCACCTCCCTCGGTGGTGTGCGCCTCGACCGAGAGGACATCCCCCTCTTCGAGAGAGCGAACAAGAGATAAACAAGAGAGAGAGAAAGCGAGACGGACGGAGGGTGTATGTTTCGCATCATAATACACTTTATAAACATTGTGTAAGCACTTGAATCAAGTTATTTGAATATTAATTAACGAAATAAAGAAAAAAACACATGTACAACAAAGCCTCGCATAGTCCGGCTTTGATCAGTTTTTTTCACTATATACCAAAGGTGTCCAACCTTTTTGTTTCCACGAAGAAGTTGAATTGTTTTGGGTCACACATAAAATCAGCTAACAGTAAGTCATACTGAGTTTACGACACGCGTACGGCATGCGGTTCTAAAGTCCTCGATTAGTACGGTTTCAAAAAAACGGTACCGATTGCCCGGACTATATGAGTGCTGTATTATGAATTCTGTACTCACTTGATGGTTTTGAGCAAATATCTTCGGAGCAAACGGTTTGCGGAAGCTGCATATCTTCGGGCGTTTGGTAATATTGAAGCACTTGCGGATGTTGTTGTTGCTGCTGCTGATCTTGAAGTCTCATCTTGTAGTAAAATTGATCACAGATTATTTTATCCATTGAATACGCTACGTTATTCGGATTATAAACCTGGCTGTATTCTTGATAATAAAAGTCACCTTTAAACGCTGGTTGAGTATAAGCGCCATCTAATTGAAGATACTGAAACAAAATTATTTTAGATACTTTTAATTGATATTTTTTGATATTTACTAAACAATTACATTAGTCAATAAATAAATCTCAAATTAACTAATTAACTCCTTAATTTTGTTGTTTAGTTCTAATTGAAATTTATTACAGAAATTATTTTCACTTTGATATTGTTCTTATGTATTTATTCAATTTTCATATTACTTTTTATTTGCAATATTGATTACTTCGTTATTACAACTTATTACATAAACTGTTTTCACCTTCATTTTAAACTTTAGTATTAATTGAACATTTAATCAAGTTATTATCATTGATCTAGTAATTAATTAATTAATTGGTTTGTTAAATAATCTAAACTATTTCTATTATTATTTTATTCTTAGGTATTAATTGAACTTTTAGTGTGATTATCCTTGAACTTGTGATTATGAGATGAACCAGTTTCTCGAATAGATCATGACTTACTTGAGTGTTATTGTATTGTCCGGTGTATTGTTGATGGATCTCATTGATCATCTCTTCGTTCTGATTCTGCACTCGCTCATAAACATCGCTTATATTGATGACTTTAGAATGAGTTGGTTCTTCGTAATACTGGTAAGTTTGTTGGATAGGATACGGAGGTGGCGGAGAGACGTCCCAAGGATACGAAGATCCCGAACTGCTACTGGATCCAGGAGATACTAAAGAACTCGGATATGAAATCTCCAGCTTCGTCAAAGCCTCCTCGAGCACGGGCTCCTCCTTGACCACGGGTAAACCCTCACGTTCATCCATTCTTCACAACAACAACAAATCAACTGTAAAATCCCGAAAAAAATTCTAAATTCTAAAACCGGGTGCGTTTTCGTTTATATCGCTCCCACCTCCAACAAACGAGTTTTCACTAATTATCGATATTTCCAACTTTTATTTTTTTCTAATATTTTCTGTCTCCTTTCCAAATTCTGTATGTATATGATGACACCGGTCACTGAGGTTGTGGAAAACTATTTTTGCGTGAATAGAAATCAATTTTTGCGCTAATTGCGGTACGGTAATTGGAAATTAATGGCGCGTTTTTCGGTAAGTATTCGGTTACGATTTTCCCTTTTCTTTCTCGTTTCCTTTCGGGTTTTTGGAAGCCGTCAGACAATCTTATTAGCATCACAATTATCGCGTCTACCTACTGCTTGCTGGCTGCTCCGAGATCACGATCTAACGACTAAATAATAATTCCGTAATTTTCGAGACCGAAAATCATTTTCCCCAAAAACCAAATTACACACGTACGGAACCCGCAATTTGTAAATTACATCTTTTTTTAATTTAGTCTCAGTTCCCTTCTTCCTCTTTACTTTTTTTTTGTTTACGTCTTTCGATTTACCTTGTTTTGTCTTCTATCGCTTAGAAATCTAATAAATAATCGAAATAATCAAATTATATAAATATAGATAAATATTTAAAAAAATATACAATCCATTGGCAATCGAAATTCCGACAATCCCGACAATTTCTGACATAAGAAATCGCAACAGTATCAACAACTACAATCCCAATTGTATCAACATCCCGACACTAACTAAATTTCGACAGTATCTTTGTATTTTTTATTGTTAAGGTTTATTATGAATCAACTAATAATAAGATACTGTCGGGATTATGATTGTCGGTATTTTGATACTGTTGAATTTCTAATATCGGGATTATGATTGTCGGGATTTTGATACTGTTAGGATTTCTAATATCGGGATTATAGTTGTCGGGATTTTGATACTGTCGGAATTATGGTTGTCGAAATTTTGATACTATAGGGATTATAGTTGTTGGGATTTTGATACTATCGGAATTATGGTTGTCGGGATTTTGATACTGTTGGGATTTCTAATATTGGGATTTCGGTTGTCGGGATTTGGTTGTCGGGAATTTTATACTGTTGGGATTACGGTTGTCGGGATCTTGATACTTTCGAGATTTCGAATGTCGGGAATTTGATTTTCGGGATTTCGAGAAATGAATCTTAACAAATTATCAATGTTAATATATATTTTTAAAACACATATTTAACAAATCTATATTTTCTTATATAAAGATATGAATATTAGACAAAGAAAGAAAATTTAACTATATTAAACAGTTTAATAAACCGTTAGTATTTTTTTGTTAAATTATATATTATAATATACATATTATATGTATTTTTCTTGTATTTATATCAGAGTATAACAACTTTTTTTTCTTTTAGTAAAATATAAATATTATATCAGTCAGTTTCATGAATATCGTTGAATTAAAACATCATTTTCATGTTTATTATTAATAAGTATACATTTATAAATTAAGTTTATTAATATTAGTTGTATACATTTTATATATTTATAATAACTCAATATGTCTTATTTGAATAAAGTATATGTAATTTGAGAAGTAAATTACTTTAAAATGTAAATAATTTTCGAATAAATCTTTGGTCGTTTGTCCCAATTTAGTATTAATTAAAAATGAAAAGGCAGAAAGACCTAATGGTCAATAGCCCTTTGTATCAGTTAACTTTTTTGAAATTATGTATATTTATTTTCTTTTCTTTTTATTTCTGTATATGTTTTTTAATGCATCAGTGTACGACATTATTATTATAATTTAAAAAATTAAAAAAATATAATTAAGAAAACGAAACATAACATAAATTAGTTATATTTATATCTTCTTTATATTCCGTTTTAATAATAGAAAAATATTTAAAGCGATATTGGTTATATAACGAACGTGAAAGAAATTTAGAAAAATCTTATAATTATAGTGTTTTAATAGAATAATAATAGCATTTTCAATTAATTTAGAACCTAATTTGTTTTAATGTAAATTAAATAAATATTAAGTAACTTTGTACATAATCTACAATAAATATAATGAAGAATGTATAAAGCACAAATAATGGTAAAATTTTATAAAATCAAGATTAATTTGTAAATTGTAAGTAAAGTTTGAATTTAAATAAGAAAACAATCTAATTTAATCAAAATTTAAACATTGTCTGAGGTAACATATTTGTGCATATATTGATTACGGTGGCAATCGCAAGCCCGACAACCGAAAGACCGTCTATTGAAATCCCGACGTTCGAAATCTCGACTGTATCGAAATCCCGACAAACATAATCCCGATTATATCAAAATTCCGACTATATCGAAAATGTCTAGTTTTAAATTGTTATTAATAATAAATAATAACAATTAATAATCTAATTGTATTTGAAATTATTTCATAATGTTATATATTTCATAAAGTTTATTATAAATAATTCAACAAAATTAAATAAATTAATAATAATTTATCGTTATTAATAATAAAAGTGTAACACAAGGTGACTACGCTTCGAAATAATTTAAAAATGTTATTGTAAAAATTTTCGATATAGTCGGGATTTTGATATAGTCGGAATTATGGTTGTCGAGATTCTGATACAGTCGGGAATATGGTTATTGACATTTTGATATAGTCGGATTTCGAACGTCGGGATTTCAATAGACGGTCTTTCGGTTGTCGAACTTGCGATATAGACCCATTTATTATCGTGTAAATGCAAATAAATTCAAGTTTCAGAAGGGAATATAATTGATTTAATTAAAGAGAAAAATAAAATAACAAAAAATGCAGTATATCTTAATATTACCGTTATATACAAGAAGTAAATAAAAATATATAATATAAGTATATAATATGAAATTAGTTTTGTTACGTTTCAGGTATTTCCCATTCGTATTCCAGACGTGTTATTATCAAAAAGTTGTATTTTATTTGTCAAATAATCAAATTAAATAACAGACTTGAGATAATATACAATAATAATTACGTTTGTAACAGTTACACATGAGAATTAAGCAAAAATAAATATGTTTTTAGAAAATATCAAATAACAATACATCCGTGTTTGAATTATCCAATTTTATAACTGATTATCATTACATTAAAAAAAACTAGGTAAATTTCTTATATTATTTCTTAAGAATGACATTTTCTACATTTCACATATACTGGTTATTGTTTGTTTTTTTTTCAAGTTATTTTTTTTTGGAGGATTTCATTTTCGTCTTCCATTTATGACGAATGCATGCATGTCTAATAATCCGGCTTTCTATGCTCCTGCACGCCTTTAGTTATACAATACCTTCACTTTCGATAACACGTGTCTCGTTTCAAGGTGTTTAGGTTTCTAGTAAAAATAAAATAAACGTTAGTCATTGGTCGTTGTTCCATGTATAAATACTAATTAAATGTGTTTGTAATAATAAGATTTAGTAAATTAACAAAAAAAAAAGTTGTTAATAGACAAAAAAAATATTATATCATTGCAATAACGCTAATGATAATCTATTAAATGTCATTAAATGATGAACTTAGTAAAAGAAAAAAATGAATGTAGCTGGTAAGTCTTATTTTTGTGAAATAATAAAATTATTATTTGAAAATTTGTCTTCAAAAATTTTGCACTTTCAGTAATTTCTTGAAAACTTGAAAAAAGTATCTACAGAAACTCAACAAAACTAGTAATGATTTCAGGAATTTATCTTAGGTTAAGTGAATATTAAATTATTTCAGTAATTTGGATTGTTTCTAGGAAAATCTTAATTGCTGTTACGAAATACAGCATTATCTCGCATAGTCCGGATTCAGTATAGTCCAAACTGAAGTTTTTTTTTTAGAAAATATTGTTTATTGCAATTAAAGTAAATAATAATAAAGGTATAGAATTTGTAAAGGAATTAAATTATTTTCTATGATATTTATTTTCTGCATTTAATTTCGAAATTTTGTAGTTTTTTTAAATATATCTTTTAGGTTATCAAACTTAACAAATTTGTTAGAAGATATTCACTTTCAATAATTTCTTGAGAAGTTAAAAAAATCTATAGAAACTAAACAGAATTAGTAATGATTTCAGGAATTTATCTCAGATTAAGTGAATTTTATAGAATTTCAGTAACTTTTGGATTGTTTTTAGGAAAATCTCAATTGTTGTTACGAAATACAGTATTATCTCATATAATCCGGATTCACTATAGTCCGAACTTAATATTTCAATATAAACTAAATTGTATAATATTAGTTATTTTTTTATTTTTTATTAAAAAAGTAAAAAAATGTATTTTATTGATCGAAAATACATGTATTAGCAATAATTACACTAATTAAGTTAATTTTATATACATTATATGGTAATATTTACTGAATTATACAGTAATACCTCGCATAATACTGTTAATCGGTTCTCTCAATATCCCGGACTAACCGAGGAACTAAATAAAATAGAAATAAACCGTACAAAAAGAAACTTGACTAAAATTTAGTTTGTTTTGAAATATTCAAACCGTACAATTATGAATCTGGACTAATCAAAACCGAGTTGCGAGGTTTTAATGTATCATTTAAACATGTTTAGAAAAATCTTAATTACTATTATAAAATACATCATCACCTCGCATAGTCCGGTAATTGAGTAAAATAATTAGCTTCTTGTGTGGTTGATTTCCGGTTTTAAACAGTCCTGCAATATTATTAGTAATGAAAATAAGCTGATTCGTTCGGTATTTTTTTGTAAGTAACGAAGAATGACGTCTAAGCAAATTTGAATTTTCAATTAGAAGCCTTCCTTGTGTTGATAGAGGATCATATTAAGAAAAGCGTGGGCCCTAAATACATTTTTATTATGTTTTATTACATTAGATTATTTGGTACTAATTCTTTTCAAATAATGAGCTGAAATTTGTACAATTATAAAAATGTACAAAAATATGGAT